CAGTCAGTGACTTGTGTTTGCTTGCCATTGTGGGCTCTCTGCGTACTTATGACACTTTAATGCGTGGCACATGGCGTTGAATGTACATTTTTTGCCATTTAATCTCACACCAGACCCAGTATGACGGTCACTTTGTGCATGATGTGCGAGTCTTGAATGTGCTAGCGCTTACCGCGCCTTGAAGAGCATTCAACATTGTCTGTCCTTTCTTGGGCTGTTGGTCTTTAGACGCGTGTTTCATACCGAAATTTTTACATACGTTGGGATTCATCTCATCTGACTGGAACTGTTGGTGGCATAAATTCGGATGAGACGTTTCTCCCTTTTATCTCATATTCCCCTTTCGCATTCGTCGCTTGCATTCACTTCTTATGTTTGTGACCATGCTCTTAAAAACGAATGACAGTATTCCACGTTAGAGCATTGTGTTGGGAAAACATACAAGTGGCGTGTCTTCCCATGCGTACTTTGCGAACCATATTTAGTACGTGACCAGCGCACAACGACAGGTGGACTCATGCAAAGTGGAAGTAACAGTATCCTCACTTCTGGAGTTGGTTATGTGTCGTGTCCTGTGGGGTTTCCAGAGACGTGCAAAGAAAATCCCGTGGACACTTAACTTGACCGTGGTCGCTTTGGTCTCTCGCTGCCACGCAATGGCCTCTTCCACGCAAATTGTAGGCTGAAGTGGAAAACATGACCTACTTTCTTGAATGCCACAGGGGCCTACACAACTATACCTGTTCCTTTGTGTATTTTGCCCTGGAACAACTCATTCATTAGCCGCTTCATCGCGGCAAGGCACAAACAGTTAGAGGCTGCTATGCGCCGAAGCCCTTCTGGTTGGACAAGTCATGTCGGCCAACCATAAATTAAGACTTCCCACTGGTTCCGTACACTTTAGTGCCCTGACACTGCGTTCAATGACTTCAAGTATCATAGTGATATATACTGCAAACGGTAGTACAGCTTCTACGTCGATCCCTGGCTTCCTGATCCGGTCAATACGGTATACCAAAAGGGACGGTAACTAGAGACAGCCCATTCTGTTACAACTTAGGGTCATCATAGAATGTTCCACAAAGTTGCGATAGAATCTTTGTGAGGCGAGAAGGGCCGAGCAATAATGCTGAGTCCTGATTGACCGACATTCTGACCAATCACGACATGCCTTCGTTCAGTCTGCAGCTCGCGCGTGACACATGCGTTAGGAGCGGCTGGCCCACGGACACAGCACAACCACGACTTCTTCCCGTTGTTGTATAATAACTGAAGTAAATTAAACATTAGTAACAATGATAGGTTTCTTGGATCATACCTTACATCTGAGCAACGAAGAGTTAACCAACATTCCCAGCTGAATTAGCTTCCACTTCAAAGCCTTCTGATTCCGACAACTTCCCGTACATGTACGCAGCCTAGGCTTCGGTGAACAGGCCTTCTGGTCAAATGACAACCCGTATCCAAAGGGAAACAATGTCTCCGAGTTCTCGAGTTTATCGGGTCAGCATTCATAAACACTACGCGTAATCCAGAGGATGCAGCTTTCAACACTTCGCACAGATCTATTTAGCATGCTTGTTTAATTTGTGGGCCGGGGAGCTTGTTCCTACGGTTTTCGGACTCCTTTAGCTGATAATAGTATGGTTTGCATCTAATTGTGTTCGGTAGAGGACGACAGTCCGATGATGGGTCAGTGCAAAGCTGTAGAAGACAACCGCCATAATATTTGTATTTTGAGTCCAAGTTCTTCTTGTTCACTGGTATCCCCGGTGAGTTAGACCATGAAACAACCGTGTGGTATTTCTCGGCTTTTCGGCGCATATTCACTCAAAAATAACAGGACGAAATATCCCCTGGAATAAGACAACAGCCAAGCTCTCCGAGGCGGATAGGATAGCGGTTAGTTTACTATGTACGGTATCATTCGCACTCTAACCTAGTCAGGAGAAAGATTGGTGTCCCCACCCAAAGACCGAGCGGGAGGCAACGGTGGCTAGAGTAGGACTATCGGAATAGCCCAAGTTCTAAACAGCAGCTCGCTACACGCGGTCCAACCTCGAACCGCGAGAACGGAACAAATATCAGTACAGTTCGACGGATCACAAAAGTGAACAAGTTGTTGCGCCCCATGCAATCACTTCGCAGCAGAGCGGTAGCTTAATATAGTAGGCGTTTGGCATGCGTGACAGTTACAAGATAGAAAACGGAACTAATTGTAATTAATTGCCTAAGTGAACGATGATCTGAAGGTCACACCAAGTTAGGTAGATCGAGTGCGACTGTTTTGCTAACGTAAAGATTAGCTGAGTTTAACGAGAAGTCATGGGCGGCTACTTAGCTAACCATAAGGCGTATGAATGAATGATAATGCCCTTTTAGTTAAAGGGTTTTAATTTCACTGTCCGGCTCCTGCAAAGTTTACGTTCAGAAAGGTGTCAACCTGTGTTGTATCGTGGGTGGCTGTCCAATGGTTACACCTGCACTGAGCCTGCCGGACTACGCGATAAGGAGAAGACAGAGGACTCGGGACACGGCTGTATTGTCAGGACAAAACATAGAGGGCTTTTGCGTAAATATATAAGATAACTAAATGGCCAAATATGGTCGTTCACTTGTTCGTTTCGAAAAAGGCAATGACGGTGTCCCGGTCGTGAACAATTTCAGCCACACTCCACGTCTTATGTTGCTAAGCCGTGTTTGGTGAGCTCCGCCAACGCATTTGCTATCCGAAACGTGTCGTAGGATGGTGACCATGGGGATGCGTCACTCTGCACATGTGCTTTTTTCATGCCTGGGCGCGTTCTGACAACCTTTCAGGATACCCTGTTTTTCCTCTACCGAATGCGCATCTTAAAAGCCGTTTACAAGTTTGGTTGGTCCAATGTTCAAGATGTCGAGCTATTTGTCCCCACATTCAAAATTGTGCATATGATCGATTTTTTTGGATGACACTTCGGGGTATATAATGACTTTGAATTCTAGAACCAACCACCTCAGAGTCCGTTTAATAGCAGGTTATTGCGTATTTCCACAGCAAATATTCAGATGCTTGGCTGACCTGTGAAAAACGATTTCGAAAGAGCAAACCGAGTGGAATACCCGGAATTTCTCCCTTCAACAGACAACATCCACTGGCGATCACGAAGGAATTACTGCATCCATGTTCGTCACCTAATTTCAGGTCTATCGAGAACATCCACAGGGATAGGGAACGATTCATGTTAGTTACCCTTGACGAGAGGGCCTGGCACTGAGCTTGGTGCTCAAGTTAATCTTGTTTGATGAAACAGAGCTGATCCACCGCGTCTTACTATGACCAGTGTCATTATTACTACATGGGTCACGGCATTCAGAAAATCATACGGAGAAGTGTTGTCTTTTTTGGGAAGGTCGCATTGTGATATAGAAACAACCTACCACAAGCTACCGGAAATAACCGAAAGGGAAGTCAGTATATTCTCCTCAACATTGTTCCAATTATTCAGTGAAATCGAGGAGTGGATGCTACCCGGATGGACCCGATGGATACAAGCATGCAAAAGATAAGCTTGGACGACTCAGAATGTCAAAACTTCCCTGTGACCGGGTCCTCATCTGTACCAACACAAAGCGACTGGTTTGTACCAACACAAAGCGACTGGTAGCTGCGTTGTCTCTGAGCAAGGTGGTCGCGGTGAAACATTTAAATTGATGAGGGGTCCATTTATCACTTCAAGGACTCATTCGCATTCTCTGTTTTCAGTGACTCCACGGGCAAAGTCAAATAATGAGATAATGCATAGTCCTTCAAGCTCAGTCAGAAGAAAGGCCCGAAGAGAGCAGGTTTTCCATGTCAAGTGACAGCGGAGGGAGACAAATTGGCTGTCTACTTCTATTTCGCCGACGAAGGAAAACATTACACGCATGTGTTCCAAATCACCCGTTGCTTCAAATCTGTCATATTCACTCAACAAAATGTATCATGCTTGGTCTGGGTTCGGACCGCACATTGTAAAAACCGCTTGGTAACAGGGGGTCGTTGCAGAGACCGAATCACTTATTCCACCACGGTGAAGTGCTTAGAATCACAGGCCCTTAACCAGAAACAAGTCACAATGACTAACTGGACCGCGGCAGCCGTGTGCTCAGAGCACAAAAAGGTAGACAAATTTTCAGTAACAGACCATCACTGGGTGAATAAAACGATTTAACGCACCTCAAACTACTCAACCGTTTATTCTGCTCCAGCAAAGTGCTCTGCTTTTCGATCGACTTAAGTTGACGCTCCTCATCCGTAGAACGAAGCAGCTGCTGAAGTTGCTCACAATCCGTTCGCAAACGTTGTTCCTCAAATCTTAGCACGTCCGCTTCCGAACACAATCGATTGCACAAAGCCTTAAGTTCCTTGATCTTGTTTTCCAAGGGAAGAAATTCTAAAATAGAAAGTGCGATTAAAAGGATATCGAGAGCGGAAAATCAGGAAGAATATGGGTAAATCCGCTTAGGTCTAGCACAAACGAATGAGTGAGATGGATTCGCAGCTAAGCACTAATTTTTCTTGAAGTTCAACTACTTATCGACTACTAAGTAGCTGTACGTAATTAGAAACAACCCCCGTACTGAGCATGTGAAGGTCTCGGTTTGGAGACAGAATATGGTCAATCAAAACAGGCAACTAACAAGGCGTCTTGCCATGAATGAAGCTGATCAGATCAATGTGTGTTATTTTCAGCGTCATCGGAACCATCAACTTTTGCAGATTTTATCCAATCAACTTACGTGGCGCTCAGATTGTCACTAGGGCAGTTTCACACGAAATCCCTAAACACACAGCACAACACATGCTACGAAAGAGCGAGCAGCTGAAACTGCCTCGTTGACTTAATCTACTACTGACCCAAGATGTGGGCGCGATGTAAGTGAATCAAACGGTGGACCTGTAAAGTTACCATAGAAGTCAACCCGATGATAATTCGCACTAGGTGGATTTGAACAAAGTAAATTCATATGGATCAGATGGAGAAAGAAACATGAACCATATTTGGGTGTCGAAGTGTTTGGTGATTTCTCGCTTTTGAAAGACAGAAAAACATATGGAACGCTCTTAAATGACGAAGAGATACACAAGAGACAGCACCAGTAAGCAGGAGTTGGTTACTAATCCCTTCCAGCAATCAGGTGGGCCACCTGGAGTTATACACAAGACCCAAAAAATTGGATCATACTGTTTCTTACCTATCTTATCTGTACGGAATCCCACTGGGAATCAGTCATGTGTACCGGTCAGATGGTCGTTAATCTGTTCGCCGATATTAGTAATTGGCTCGGCCAGGCTCAGCAAACAGATCAATGACCATCTGACCAACTACCAGAAATTCAAATTGAGTAACGAGAATGTGGATGATCTAAATGGCCGGCAGACGGAGTAGAAACAGTAATTCCAGATTCCCGACAAAAGTCCTACAGAATTGTCAACAACTGAGCCTAACATTGGGTCCTATTGATTACTAATAATGGATGCGTAATGAACATGTGGTGGATTGCTGCTCCCGGATTGACCTCATCCTGTTTCAGAATTTGTGACGCCCAGTTGCCGAGTTTCACTAAAGGAGTCTGGTAAGATTGGACCTAGCCGCATGGACTAACTCATCAGTTGTGAGCGTGTACTTCATGTCTGTGAGAGAACGCTTGGGGAGCGTTTCTACACTGGGGTCAAGCAGATAAGTTTCGAGAGAAGGTATCCACCACCTACATGACTGGACGCGAACTCGGGCGAAAGCATATCGTACAACCGTACGCGCATATAGGCGTTGGCATTCATTGGCTTTACAGGTGGTAAAAATTTAAGGACACCTTTGACCGTCAGACAGTGAAATAGCATCTGCCTATCGACAAGGACAGAAGTAGATTTTAGACGAAGGTAAACTACCATCATTGGACTTTTGAAGGAGTGGTGCTGATTAGGGACCTATCTAAAAGTAAGAATATGGTTAAAGCACCAGGACAAAACCCAGCTAGCACTTGTCCGACCAGAAGCTGTCATCACGACATGGTGGTTGGAAGTAGGTGGTGTAATGCTCCTGCGGGCTACACTGACTGAAACCAGGTTTAACCATGCCAGGAAGATCGAAATGAAGCAGCTAGACAGAAGAGGAATCCCCATGTGTCCAGAGGCCAGCCGCCCCTAATAACCGAACATCACGTCAACTGGACTGATGTGGAATGTGCGGCCTTCGGACCACACGAAAGCACGCCCTGATTGGTCAAAATGCTAGCCAATCTGGATCGAGCATATTTAGCTCGACCCTTCTCACGGAGATTCTAGCACCACCTTGTGAAACGTTCTGTGATCCTACAAATGCGTCTGTAATAATCTCCCTGTCTCCATAAACGGCTGTTTGGAGCTGCCGCGCCTTTTGATATACCATAATGGGCGGAGCAGGAAGCCAAGAACCGACAGAGAGCTGCACGACCGTTCAGAAAGACAGAGAACGAATCCACATGTCACAGGTCGGTACCGATCTGGATGTAAAATCGTACCGACAGGTATGTTCCCATTCACTGAAACGAAAGGGCTGCCTCCTCCAGAAGTGCATTCACCAAAGATACGCGTACAAGACCCTACTTCGGTCATGCACTGCTTAGGACATACCATATTTTATTCTTCGGGTATCTGGTGATCCTGATTCAATACCTCGTGGTAAGTACAGTGTGAAAATTGCATTCGCCTCCAGGGCCAAAAGTGCTTTATTGGAGTGGATTCCAGTGAACAGTCACCTCTCCGGTGTACAGCTGTCTGGTTCAACTTAGATCAATGCCGCTCGGTGCTGCAAACAGTGTTGACTTGTAGTCAGCATATGTTCCAACCGTCTGCAGTTCGGAAGCTGTGAAGACCTGTTGCGACTATTTCGCTCAACAAAGAGCACGGACTCTACGTGATGTGACATGATGTGAACGTCCAACGAAGACGATTAAGTTGGATGGAAGATTCGGATTCGATATCCACCGTCCGATTGTCACATTCGCCCGACCAACAAGGGCTGTTTAATGCTAATGCGTTGGAACCAGTTTACACAGACTGTCGCCTTCAATACCTAGATTCTCAGGGTTGTCTGGTCATGCAATCATTTCAAATGCTTGACCATATCTTCCACACGCACAAATTTTACAATTAACTGACTGACTTATACAAACTATAGTTCTGAGGCGACTGGCAACCGAGACCTGAAGACGTTTCAGTTCCACTGCTCAGAGAGTCCACTCTTCAAGACCATACAAAGCGGTTTGTAACATGGCCTGGTATACATATCCCTTAAAATTTAAAGGTATGATACTTGACCACGAATTAGAAAACACTATCAGTGGATGATTGGGGCTCTCGACCAAAAAGGTAAGGTAGGTGTATTCGGTGTGAAACAGCCAAAATAATTAAAGTCCCAAAGGGTGAGTCACCAAATCCGTTCCAAAGAATAAGATGTCGTTGATAAAAGCACTCCAGTGATACAAAAAATGGGCGAAACTAACCGGAGCAGCTGAAACTCAGTGCAGAATACCATCGCTTACCAGATCGAATCAGAGCGTCCCAATCATAGTTAATGGCACAATCATATAAGGAGGAATTTTCTATGCTTGCCCAGAATTTGGCTGCTTCCTCGATGGGCATCATGAAGGGTTTAGAGCGACTGAAAAGAAGTGTGGGTAGTGGAAATAAATTCACTTAAGTTTACTTGAGTGCTATAGACCATGTATGGTATAAATGACTTACCAGTCACTTTGGTAACAAAAAGGAGTGAATGGTAAAATTTTCGAAAGAAAACGCACTGGAGAATAAAGTCAGTTTTCGTTGACCGTATATATGGGCACACTTTTCGTCATTCAGGGGAAGGTGTCAGTACAATGACCAACGCTTGAGGCGTTGACATCCATTTGGAGGGCTCTGGCGTTGGAACTGTGAGATTTCAGGTCACCGACAAAAACCGGACATAGAATTGAAGGCCGACGCGGACCAGGAAGAGTGGTCATAAGACAGTGGTCGAAGACGCCTAACAGTATATGTCCACAGGAGGGCATGTTTCACAACCACAAAAAATACATGCGACCCTTGAACCGCGTGAAATGCCTTTTTGACAACATAAGCGGTGAGAATTAGGCGATGCGATTCTGGCCTTTGAGATTCGTGCACTGGCTCCACCAGACTCTTCCATATGAGCTAATACAACTGCCGAGGTATATAAAATTCTCCACCACTTCCAGTGACTCCCCTTAGATTGTGAGGGGTAAGTTCAGAAACTGCACATTATGAAATATGGCTTTGCACGTTGAAGATGCAGGGCGCATAGCGAAATATGGTATGATGGTGGTTAGTTCATTCAATAGGATTTGTGCCTCACCTTTGTCCTTAATGATAAGGATAATGTCGTTTGTGTAATCCAAATCGACAAGGTCTTCACCAGCAAACACACGAACACCGGGATTAAGATGGCCTTTCAGCGCTCGCCACATTATTCCATCAATGGCAAAATCAAACAAGGACAGAATGATAACCACTTTTATAAGGAAGCTTTTGGAGAGCTCACCATACACTCTTGCATGCCCAGAAGTGTGTGAATATACGCACCGAATTATTCTCGCAAGCTTCTGGGAGGCACCCTGCAGGGCAAAAATGGTTAAAGGTACCGACCGATCGACAGAATCAACTTGGCACGAACATCAGGTGCATACCCTGTTGCGCAAGCGTGCTGAGAATAACTGACCAGTTGACAGAAACGAACGCACTTTTGAGGTCAAGTAACAATGAAATTGTGGGTCGTCTGTAAATACGGTGTTGCTCTGACATCCGATGGAGTGTGAAAACGTGATCGATGTAGCCTCTACTCGCCCAAATTCCGCTTGATGCTCATGGAACAACAGGGGCGAAATGGCTCAGTGGTTAGAGCGCGAATTCGTCGCCCAGAAGGTCCGTGATTCGAACTCGACCGCTGAATCTCGACTTCTCCTGTCTAGGCTTGGGCGCCCTGGTAGTATCCCAGCCCTTCCGGTGGCATGGCAGCTAGGAACCGAAAAGATGTAGCAGCCGAATGATTATTATTATTAGTCGCGGGTCAAAGATTCACGCAGAAGCAGTGACACCAGAAATCTTGTTACAACAGGCACCAAACTAATACGCCTGTGATTGCTACATTCACTGCGGGAAAGCTTTTAGAAGATGGGCACGATTATCTATCGACCCCAGTCATCTGGAATGGTTTTCCTCCAGCACAAATAGCCTACACAGGAACTGGTTGATGACACATCATCCTTATACAGAACAGGTTGAAGTTTATCAAGACCAGCGGCACGACGCTTGAGTATACATCCAGACACTTCTGAGGTTGAAGGAAGCTCCATATTCACAGTCCATCTTTCTGTTCAAGGCCGGCAGTCCGGACTGGAGATAGCAGGTGGCTAAATGAATTTTTGTTCGAAGTACTTTGCCCATGGGTCCCAACTTCCTCTTTTTTTGATGTCGGAGGACCATTCGGTCCATGATCGTTTCGCTGACAATGGGCTTCTGAGAAACAGCTGTCCGGAGGCCAGCCGCTCTTAGTGACAGAACATCACATCGATTGGATGGACGCGTCACGTGCGGGCTGCGGAGAAAACGGAGACATACCTTGATTAGAGTTTCAGCAAATTTGGATCAGGCACCAATCTCGCCCCATCACGAGGATTCTAATCCAGTCTTGTGGAACGTTCTATGATGACCCTATAAACACGGCTGTAATAATAATCTTCCTCTGTCTCCAAAAACACTGTCTCAAGCTATCGTGCTTTTTTATGTACCATAGTGGGTGGGACAGGAAGCCAAGGACCGACACAGAAGTTGCATTACCATCAGCAAGTCACGACAACTGGCGACAACACGAAACCACGATGTAAACTTCGGCAGAGCAGCTCCGTGTAATTTTAGAGCAGCAACAAAAGCTCAATTGGTACTTGTTGAATCTCCAATGCGCAGTATGTCGGCGAATGCTTCAAAAACAGTTGGACTTCCGTTTTCTTTCGCAGATGCTGCTGCCAGCCCGACTATCGAATCTCGATGCTGAATCTGGTCGAACATTCAAAGGTTTGTTCAAGAAATATAAGGACATATTTCAATGCACGGGGAGTTAGACAGTTGCTGCGGAAACTGGGGATAGTAGATGATCGGTTCACAAATTTCATACTCCGCAAACTCCCCCGTGACCCAAGCTTCGCAGATACCGTCAAGATCCTGGCCAAAGTATACGGTGACCAAAGTTCTATATTAGTTATCAGTGTTTCAAGATTACCAAAGGGGATACTGATGACTTCATCACGTATGCCTGTGTGGTCAACAAAAAATGCGGGCGCTTCCGGCTCAACACCATGATTAAGGGTCAATTCGTGGCTGGTCTTCAATCGCTACATGATACAGATGTTCGAACCCGGCTACTGAATCGAAATGAGCAGGATCTAGAGTTGACAATGTCAGGATCTCAAGGCTAATGCTGCAACGATTTGACATTCCCACTTCTCTCAGCCTGATACGGTATGAAAAATAACTTCCAAAAAGCAATCAAATTCCAAACGAACCCAGATCCTGTTCGTTTTGTGACGAACGACACTATTCACGCTACTGTCCCTTCCGGAACCACAGGTGCAGCGAGTGTAGTCGAAAGGATCACAAAGAAAAATGCTGCAGAGATAACTTCAGGAGCTCGCACAAACATCGACCCGACAGAAAGACGTAAACGGGGGCCGTGACCGGTACAGTCAGGACGAAACCACCTGGCCGACAAAACTTCGTCAGACTATGTATCAATAGCGCACCGCTTACTCTCCAAATTGATACAGTTTCTGACAAAAATCTGATTTCTAAACGAACTGGACTTAACTGGAAGGCCATCAGCGAAATACACAAAGCTCGTCGTTCGTAATGCGTCTAGTGGAAGCCTCAAACTGACCGGAAACTGAACTGCTCCGTAACGTTCAAAGGGATTCGACTCAATGGTGCTCACTACCTCACGAACTATACAGGCCTTGATCTCCTGTGTCTGGATGAAACCTTTAGAATGCGTCTGAGAACGAGGTAGAAGAGTCCAAGTTATCCAGAATAACCAACTTTTATTTGTCTAAGCTGGAAAGTACATACAAAGATTCAGCACGAGAACACAGGGTGACTATAATAATAGGTAGACGACAATCACGACATTCACTTCGATATCATTCGAACGGGCACGTATGAAGTGACGTAGACAGAGAATGCTGTACTGAGTTTGGCCTCTCTGTTCCTCAAACTGTAAGGATGAACGCGTCGCTATTCTAAAGTTTCAGGATAACTCGGTTGGTTTTCGGAGGACGGTGTCAAAATGTTTTTAAATGTTTAAATGTTTGAGCTATCGGTTGACGTTCGGTTGTTTCAGACATATCTGGGTGTTCGGTGTCCCTATTAGATTCAGACATTGAGGACGTCGTCAGTTGTATCCCGAATTATTGGGGCTAGACGGCGAAGGGATACGGCTTCGACTATTCGGTCTCGATGAGCAGTGTGTGCGGTGTGAGTTGCAGTTCAGGAGGTCGACTTCTTATGCTAGCAGTTGATACTTGGATGACAGATCACCTCGCTGAAGCAGGACTGGACCAGGGGTGGTCAACCAAGATAATAACGAGATCGCAAAGGTTGGCCGACGTGCGTACTGAAACAAACGTTTGTGTGGATTGCAGTTGGTGGCCGTACATAACAGTGACCGGAGGCTGTGTGGAGTATCAGGAAGTACCGACTCCCAATGAGATGTCGGTAGGTTTGTATTCAGTGCCAAGCTTATCGTTTTCAGGAGGGTACCGTTGAGGCGCTCAAGCTGACCGTTACACTGTGAATTATAAGCCGATGTATGAATCACAGCAACAACTTTCTCCAGAAGGAAGCTTTTGATCTTAGACGACATGAACAACGAGCCTGTTGGTGTGGATATATGCTGGTACTCCAAGTAAACAAAAGATTGTGTACGACGGTCAACCACAGTTGCTGAGGCTATATCAGCAAGTGCAAATGGTAATCTGTGGAGCTCGTCAATCATCCTGAGCAAGTAGCAGTTGTGTATTAGATGGTAAATCCAAATCCGGGCTCTCAAAAGGTCGTAATGCTTTAATGAGTCCACCAGAAGGTTCCCAAAATCTTGGATTCAGCTCTGCGCACATGTTGCGGATACCATGCTTAACGTCATTGACGGAGTAGGCAAGATTCTTGCAACACACAAAATGGAACATACGGGTAATTCCTGGATGGTGGAGCGAGTTATGGAGTTTTCTGATTTGATTGTTGCTCCTCGTGGAAGCATATACGTTGTGCAAAAGTGTCGGTGACATGATTACCCTTGCCAGGTCGAAAGATGACATCATAAAGAAGATAAACATACAGCCGTAGTACCCTTTCGGTGCCTGGCTGCCATATCGACGGAAAGAAGCACAAGGGTTGGCAGTATGTCAGGTTGCCCAGGCCCAAGCAGGAGAAGTCGAGATGCATAGGTAGGGTTCGAACCGCGGACCTTCCGGCCAGGAAATTCGTGCTCTAAACAGCGAGCCATCTCGCCCCCTCCCTTGTATTCAGATAACTCAACCCCCCAACGTTGTGTTTTGCCGTTTTTATCTTTGTCCTTTCCTTCACCGCCCTACATAAATATGACC